ATGTATTAACCAACATGAACAAACAATGACCAATACATGTATTGCAGTGTTTATTAATCTTTGTTAACGTTAGTTAATTCAAATTCAATTGTTCACTGTTAGTTCATGTTACTTTACAGTGCATTAACTAATGTTAACAAGCACAACTTTTGATTTTATTAATGCATTAGTAAATGTTGAAATTAATATTAAGATTTAAAAATGCTGTACAAGTATTGTTCATTCTTAGTTCATGTTAACTAAAGTAGCTAAGTAATGTTAACTAATGAAACCTTAATGTAAAACGTTACCCATTATTTTACACTGATTTACTGTTTGTGTCTTTAAAATAATAATTGTAAAAAAAAAAAGTGTAATTGTTGGGGTCTTTGTCCTTGTGTCTATGTGTTATGTCTGCAGAACTTTTTAAATACTTTGTTGCAATATATATATATTTTTTCTGTTTTTCTTGGTTGATCCAAAGTGTCAACACTGTTCCCTGTTTCTCAGTTAACTATTATATCCTATTTACCTACTTGGCATGGCATGGTTATTTTAAGTTCTGAGTTTGAATTCCAATAATTAGACTAAGGGTTTAAACCAGTTCTTAATTTGAGCCAGATCCTGCTGGGAAATGTCAGATTTGGGATTAACATGGTGACAGTGTGTGTGTGAGTGTGAGACAGCAAGCATGGGTGTATGCTGATTCATACCACGGTTTGTCTGAATACTCTTATTGGCTGGAAAGTGTGCGTTCAAATCGCCTTGATTCGCACTGAAACACATGCACACGAGCTCGCTGTGCACAGAGAAACATTCAGAACCACATAAAGTTGCCCGCAACTTTTATTAATAAAATAGCTTTGCTATTGAATCACTACATTATATTTCTCAGCAACGAGGGATTGATTTGGATTCGGCAATTATTTATTTACAAATTAAGCACTGGTTTAAACCTACTTTCCTGGACACAATCAACAGGTTGAAAAGTTAGTAACAGAGTAAAGACTCCAAACAAGACAGATACCTCTATAACATCAGTTACACCTTGATGCTAGAAGAGACTTTACAAACACATAGGACACTCACTCATACAATGCCTACCAAATATATTGTAGCAAAATAAAACTAAACTAAAACTGTAAGTACTAGTATATGGTAAAAATTGTAGTTCATGTCCATACCCTTAGAAGCTCAACATTAGAAAATATTTTGGAAAAAAAAAAACCCTACCTTCATCACTTTCCCATTTCTGTCTCTCTTTGGATTTTCCATCATCTTTGTGGTGAGAACTCTTCTTGCTTTCTTCCTCTGATCTGACTGAATCATCAGATCTGATCTGCTCTTCATCCACTGATGTCCCTATACCATCTTTATATATCTCACATGTGAGATACTCTTCATGGTTTCCCTTGAGCATCGTATCAACTCTACTGAATATCTCTGAGAGCCATTCTGGTTTTCTTTCATCAAACTGCAGATGTCCTCCTCCACACTCCTTTATTAACTGATGGATTGCATTATTCTTGATCATAGAACTAATCTTTAATATGTATGTCTTTTCATCAGTCGTGATCACTATAGTGCGTTTAATCGCCTCTTCACTGAATTCTTTCAGCACACTTTTCACTCTGTATCCATCCTCCTCAGTGAAGTCATTATGCTGCAGTATGAGTATGAACACATGAGGTCCTGGAGCAGACAGATTCACACACTCTCTCACTGCCTGTGTGATCTGATGGAGTGACAGGTAAGGCTGGAGAAGCTGAGGACTGTTGATGACCATCACACGTCTGTTAGTCAGTCTTCCTCTGACTCTCTGGCTGTGCTGCTGAAACTTCCTCTCCACTGGAAGTTCTGGAAGTGTCTCAAACATATTTGTCCCCAAGATTACGTTTGCCACTCTGTTGTTTTCTGACACATTCTTTCCCAGAAGAGCAATCCTCAGATCTCTCACTGAAACATACAAGATAAAATCAAATAAGCCTGATGTTTCTTGGACATTACTACATAATTTATCTAAATATACACAGATATAGATAATCAGGGTTAAAAGTGCTTTTGAATTTATTCTCCTCTACCCCACTAGATGACACAAAAACTCACAGAGGCATTTTCCTAAACATCTGCGGAAATGTGGCTCCTGTGTGTGGCAAGAAGAAATGAAGAAAGTTGATTCTATGCCAGTTTGATGTAATATGTAGTTTTTTGTTGTTGATGTTGTTGTTTATTTTTAAATATATTTTTTTAGCGAATGAGAATTAATACAATTGCTAATAATAATATGAGACAAAGATCTTTTAAAGTTTTTTTTTTCAGTTTTGTTTAAGGTAATCAAATCAACATTTTTTCAATAGCCAAAATTTTGGGTAAAAATCACTGGTACACATGACACAATTTACATGATGGCACTACGTGATATGCTTAGATTTAGATTCTAACATAGATATTCTATATTCTATATCTATATAGATATTCAAAGACATTCTAATATCTTCCAATCTAAAGTTGTATGTCCACCTTACAGAGATAATATTTAAAAATATATTGATCAAATCATATAATATCATATTTATTGTTGCTACTAAAAACATTCATTATCTTTAATTTTTAAATATTTGTTCTTTGCTTTTAAAATGAACAGTGTATTTATTGAACAACAAACAAATTATTTTAATTATTAAAATAAACAGATAATAGTACAAATTTGTTTTGAAGAAGTGTTAACTTTTATAATATGTAAAACATATTACTAGCTAAAGTATTTGAATAAATATGAATAAACCTTTGAATAAACCTTTTGCTCCTCACCACCTCGTAGATTTATATATTTTTTAAAGACAACAAACCACTTTTATAATTTATTGTCAAAAATAAATGAATGAATGAATAAATAAATAAAATGTGTTGTTCCATTGACGTTCAATAACAATAATTTTTTTTCTGTAATCATACTGTTGGAGCCATTTCTTTTTCTATTTTCAGATTTTGGACTGAATGGACTGATTTCCTAATTTGAATATAATTGAGTTTGAGTATTTGCATTGAATGTTGTGAATTTTGAATCGAGACTCTTATTATATTATTGCGATTATGTATTTAGTGCAGGTGAGGAAATAGGTGGGGCCAGTAAGGGAAAGCGGACACAATTTTCAGACCGTGTGTTCATGTGGCTGTATGTGCTAATGTTTAGCGGTGAAGCTTTGGTTCAACTGTTTTTATGGATTGTTGATTTGTGAAAATAAATGACAAAGAAGCTATGTTACAGATAGTGATGGCACGATGAAGCCTTATGAAACATTGAAGCTTTTCATCCAAGTGGTTCACAAAACAGTTCATTTCTCAAGGCTTAATTTGCTTACAACACCACCTGGTGGCCAAAGAGTGAAAAACAAGCAGATATATTACAGATGACCTGATGTGATACACTGTTTTGTGCCAGTTAAGGCTTAGAAATAATGGTGAAGAAAAAAATTTTTTTTTCACATAGATTAATCTATTTGTATGAATATAATGTGTATTTTATAATGATTGTATAACATAATATAACATAACTGTGTAATATACATATTGCCTTGAAATGAATGGGGCTATCAAATGTGTGAAAATCAAGTCTTTGCTCATAATATGCAGGATAGGGCAATATTATTAGTCTAAAACTGGAAATTGGTTGGGTTTACCAGGACAGAGGACTGTGAATTTACAAGATTCGAACCGCTTCCTGAACCAGTCAGGCCAAGCAAGGCTTCGGATGTCATCAATGACGTCATTGCTCTAAAGCCTCGATACGCGCTTCACTGAAAGCTGCCGGGATTTCTCGACACACGCTCCGAAGCCTCGGCACTGCACGTAACATCACTAGTTACAGACTCACGCGTCGATTGTTCGCCCCTACCTGGATAATGACTACTGAGCTCGTAGGGATTGCAGGGTTCAGCCCAGGAGGAGCAGGAGATGTCTGATGCCTTCCCAATCCTCCTGCCCTGCATATGATGAACTGTTGGAGGTTATGGATCGCGCTACGGCGAGGCTGGACTTGCCATGGAAGCGGGCCAAGAAGGTGACGTCACGAGGTCATCTCGATGAGCGTTATCTTTCTGACCATAACCCTCCAGCTCAAGTGAGCTTTCCATTTCTTCCCGATTTGCATACTGAGATCGAGAAGGAATGGAATAGGCCGTTTTCCTCACGCATCTATTGGTTCCAGCATACGAGTTATGTCAACATCGAGGCAATGTGTGAAAACGGCTATGAGAGGATGCCCCCTGTAGAAGAGACGCTGGCTAGCTATCTCTCGATGGGTGAGACTTCCTCCCTTAATACTTCCTCCTTGCCATCTAAGTCCCTTCAGGATACATTGCGCTTAAATGGAAGGGCATACGCAGCAGCAGGTCGGGCTGTGGCTTCGTTGCACACTATGGCGGTGCTCCAGGCATATCAGGCTGATCTGCTGAAAGACCTGGATAAAGGCAAGGGCCTTTCTCCAGATCAGGTAGCTGAGCTATGCCGCACCACAGATATTGCTCTCAGCACAGATCGTGCTACTAAGCAGTAGTAGCTACTCCGCTATGGGCAGGTCTACAGGTGCATCTCAA